TGGTGAATGCCACAAATTCTCCTAAATCACTCGTACGCACAACTTAAGAACAAATCTGTGCGTACGAACGGTTCTTGCATGAGGCCCATTGTGACAGTGCCAGGGAGCGTTTGCAGCAATATTTACCAAAAGGGGGCACTGTGATACATTAGGGGGGCGTTTACTTGAAGGTAAAATTTTCACCAAAGGTTCATAACAGCAGCAGTTTAAACTTTGAACTGCTTGTGAAAAATGGGGGTCTGTAACATTAAAACATGCATGGCACTGCAATATGGAGAGAAAATAGACTAATATAGTTTGTCTGTCCGTAATAAAGTTTGTGTGTGTGTGTAATACAGTTTGTGTGTGTGTGTAATACAGTTTGTGTGTGTGTGTAATACAGTTTGTGTGTGTGTGTAATACAGTTTGTGTGTGTGTGTGAAACACGATTTGTAACATGATTTGTAACCCATAAAAAACAGTTTGTGCGTAACTTCGGGTATTTGTAAGTGTGTATTTAAATGCACACACAAATATTAATAAGTTATGAATACAAAATAAAAGTACACACACACAGATATAAATTACACAAACATTAAAATTTCACTCACAAATTTTTCACCTTCAACCTCACAAATCTGATAATTACACACACAAACTGGCTCCTACGCATACAAGCCGTTAAATTCGCACGGACAAAACCACATTTACGATCAGGTTACAAATGCACAAATCATTTTTAGACTGTTTTCACGCTGCCTGTGCACTATGGGAACAAATATTAGTCAGATATATTTTGTACTTGTAAATTAGATTTTGTATTCATAGATTAAGATTTGTACGTTTTGGATGTGTAAATAGGAATGTGTGTGTGTAAAACAGAGTTGTATCTGTAAAAATAAGATTTGTATCTGTAAAAAAATATTTACACAAGTTACAATCTTAAAGATTGAGCCCATAGTGATGACACGATCCTGGACACAAACCCAGCAGCAGCTCTACACACGGTCCTTCATCCCAGACTCAGTTTATGAGTTTAAATTACTTAATAATGAACAAATTTTTATGAAAAGCTGCTTATTTAATAATCCTTTAGGAACTTTAGTATTTTTATCTGTAGGTTGCACGATATCATGTCAGTTTTGGTTATGAATAGGCCCATCAGTAAATTTAGGTGATTATCATAACTACACCTGTTTATTGGTTAAAATTATTAATATTGTTATTTTAAACATGTAGTTGAGTGTCAGCACTGCTTGGCACAATGCCCTGTGTTACAAATAAAACTAAATCAAGAAGAGAAAAAAGTAAAATGTAACTATAAACTTGTTTGATAAATTATCACATTAATTTCCTGATCTCGGCCAGCAGTGAGTTTAAAACCAGGATGATTCATTTATGGACCAGTTTGAAGAAATTTATAGTTAGTACTGATTAAATACAACACAGAGTTAGGGTTTTCTACTTTATAATACCTTTATAATGT